GAAGTGATGACTCGAGCTTTCTCTGCAGCCGCAGCTGTTGCCGAGCGTGTCCTGGTAGGGGCGTTCTTCTTGCGGCCAGGTGTCTTCAACAATTCGATAACTGGTCTATGGGCGTATGATTAGTTTAGTCGTCTCTAACCTAATAGCAAACAGCGCACTCGTCCTTAGGTCCCTCGAGAAAGCTCTCCAAATAGTTATCCAAGAAGTCGAAGCCTTGTGTTTGAATCTGGTCGTGGAGGATTTGGCGACCGGGGTCCTTGGCGATATTGAAGCGGATTGAGTTGCACCATGCGAGCACACCAGCCTCTCCAGGTCTTGAGCCGTCCATTACGTATGTTTGGTAGAGGAGAGGGTGAGGTGGAAGGGAAGAAGGGAGGTCGTGTTCCGGTCAGTGGCTTGAACTTCGCGCGGGCGTGTCGGTGGTTCACTGAACGCGTCGGTCATGTGATCTGGCGCGCACTCCGTCGTCACGCGTCTCATGACACGTTTGGCAGCGCGATTCATCACAAGGTCATGGTAGGGAGGGCGCATACAGTCTTTTAAATGTGTTCCGAATATTCTCTGCAACAAACGGACAATCATCTCTGTCGTGACACGGCACTCAATACTTGTCCACGCTTGCACGGTGGTTATTCGGCGACCTTTCCTGCAGCTAGTGGAGCGCAGATTACCCTGGAGTACATCAACCCCTGGCAGGACCCAGGGAGGCCACCAAATCTTCTACAACATCGGTGACCCTGTCCTGTTATTTCCCTATCAGCCTACGCTGATGCCGCAAGTCTCAGATATGGGTGTATATAGACACTGTGATGAGCCGACGTCAGCTGGACTGTTGCGCGCTACGCGTTCAACTTGTAACGTACCCGGACAGCATCCCAAGTGGCCTACCTATACTACATACTACGTCCGTATTGCTGAATCTCCTAGGTGTTCGTTACGAGGCAAGCACCTTGATTCAGGCTACCCGGAGCTCGTGACTCGCATTCATCAAATCACCTTCGCTGCACTCCGATTGCAGGCAGATGGGAGGACCCGAAGACCTGCCAATAACATTCTATATCCCGTTGTTCACCAATGGTTGCCAAATCCTCAAGCAGCTGCAGCGCTTCCAAAACTCCGCTATATAGATAAATAGCAGCCTAGAGTAGTGGGGTCCGCGCTCGAGCAGCACCTCTTCCGCAATGCCGTATGACCCGACTCTAGTCTGGGTCGCCGTTGTTGCAGTCGCTCTCGTTCTTGTTCGAAGGCGTCGACAACCGACTACTTATCCGCGGTGTCTGCCCCTTCCTCCCGGCCCAAAGCGTCAACCCATTCTGGGGAACGCGTTAGATATCCCCTTGTCCAAGCAATGGCTCACGTTCCAACGATGGGCAGAAATATACGGTAGGCACTGGCATGCAGTTACGATCAATGACAAGTCTTGCTCATGTACCATGCACAGGAGACATCTTCTCTATCAGTCTGCTGGGGCAGCCTGTCATCGTTCTCAACAGCGTCAAGGCCGCCAAAGACCTACTCGACAAGCGTTCGGCCATCTACTCGGACCGCTTCAAATCGACCGTGGTTCCTTTGTAAGTAAATCCCCCTGGTTTGCCATGACTCGGGAGAAGCTTACGATTGGAGGACAGGATCGGCTGGGACTGGAACGTTGCTTTGATGGGCTACGGTCCGCAGTGGAGGCAAACCAGACGCGCTTTCCATGAACACTTCCACCAGGGTGCTGTCAAGCTGTATGAACCCATTCAACTCTCCGGGGCACGCAACTATACCAAGCGACTCTTGGCTAACCCCGACAACTTTATCCAGGACCTTAGATAGTGAGTCTTACGTACGGCGGGCGATCCGTGGACCTGAAGCATTCTGTTAGTGATCTTGGCGCGACCATTCTAGAGGTATCGTATGGCATCCAAGCCCAGGGCCATACCGATAAGTACATTGCAATTGGCGAGCGGGCAGTAGAAGGTCCCACCGAGGCTCTCATGCTTGGAGCCCTATGGGTTGAATTTCTCCCCTTCCTTCGCCACCTACCGCCCTGGTTCCCGGGTGCATCCTATCAAAGAAAGGCCGGAAGATGGCGCGCAGATGCTATGGCCCTTAAGCATGTGCCCTTTGCGAAAGCTATCGAAGACTTCGTGAGTCATACGAATGATACTCGCATGATATGATCCGACTTACCACGTTTCTGTGACGCGATCCGGATCCAACAGTGCGACGGTGAAGGTCCGCGGTCGCTTGCGAGCGAGATATTGCACCGCGAATACCAAATCGGAGACGGCTCGTCCGCAGGAACAGAAGAGCTTGCTAAGAATGTAGCAGCCGTTACCTACGGAGGTCAGCTTCTTCCATGCTCACTGGAACCACGCCAGTGGCCGTATCTCACGACGTTCTAACCACTATTCCAGCGGGAGCTGATACGGTAAATCCGATTTGAGCCCCTCGCAGCCATCGCATGCTGATTTGGTAACAGAGCTTCTCGACGTTGCAAACGTTTTTCCTCGCAATGGCGCTGCATCCCGACGTGCAGCGCAAGGCTCAAGCCGAACTCGACGCTGTGGTCGGGCTGATGCGACTGCCTGATTTCGAAGACCAGAGGTCGCTACCGTATATTGAAGCGATTGTCAAGGAGTGTCTCCGATGGCAGAATGTCTTCACACTGGGCCTTCCCCACCGCTTGATGCAAGATGACGAGTACGATGGATACTATATTCCAAAGGGTTCAATTGTATTGGGCAACATATGGTGAGTTCGACCTGTGTGTACGACGGCAACCAGGCTACTGTGCTCATGATGCGTTGCAGGGCAATCTCACATAACCCGCAGGCCTACCGGGACCCAGACGCGTTCAATCCCGACCGCTTTTTGACAGACGATCAAATGGGCCACAGTTTGCCCGATCCTAGCGACTATGCATTTGGTTTCGGAAGAAGGTGACGCTTCCATGATCCTAGCACGCCAGGGTGCCGAAGTTCATAGCTGTAATGCTGCAGGGCATGTCCAGGTCGGCATTTCGCATTGGCTTCCATATACATCTACGTTGCCTCCGTTTTGCATGTCTTCAATATCACACCGAAGCAAGACACCAACGGAAATCCTATAGAGATCAAAGCAGACATGAACTCCGGTGTGGTGACGTACGTTACATCTTGTCAAATCATGTCCATGGTGTGCTCACGTCGAACCCGTGAAGGTATCCGACCAAGTTCGAATGCGACATCAGGCCACGTTCCCAAGAGGCCGAAACATTGATCCAAGTTTGCGCATCAACGTGAGTCAAGGCGAGGACGTATCGCACGGTCATCGACCTTTTTCGCACTTCAGAGAGTATCGCCGTTTGTACCGTACCAGTGTCATGAATCATCTTCCTAGCATCGCGATCCAAGGCACGGGCAGCGCAGCCTCAATGTGCATGACCGGTGGGCACGGCTAGGGAGAATGTTTCGACGAGAAGCAAGCGGGAAAAGATGACAATTATCAGAGCATATACTACTTAGGCGAATATCAGAATCTGAGTAGCAAGCAAGCCTGAGTGCGGGAATGCAACTTACGCTATACATCAATCCACCTCTATGACGCGACTGTCATGCCATACAGATCAAGCAGTGCGGTTCTTCGCCTTCCACGCGATATTGAGTTCCCGATAGCATTTTGGGCATAGGTTGTGGGCCAGTTTTGGCGAACCGCAGCTCTCGCAATGTACTAAGTCTATAGTAACGTCAATTGACTTGTCCTCACAATGGGGAAACCAGGATGCCTACTTTGCTTGTCCTTCAACCCCTTATTAGCACTTCTCATCGCCTTCCTCGAGTGTGAGGTCTTCTTCTTCGGCACTGCAAGCAACCATGGGGGAAAGAGCTCGAGCAAAGAGGGTAGTGAGGGGATGGCCCAAGAGAACGGTTTGGGTGCAGTCAAGAAGGCCGGAACGAACGCAGCCGTAAGAGAGATACGCGCAAGAGGGGCTGAGATGGCTGAGAGCCATGAGCGGGATTGATGGAGAGCGAGTGCCGCAGCCATGGTCGTCGAGAGCAAAGAGGCAGATGGTGGCAGAGCCGTGGCTGAAGACAGTCCGCCAACGGGCGCTTCGTGAGCTGTAGGGCCTCTAGGACGAGGCGCTCGTCTGTTGCAGCAGTCACCACCGTCCGCCATGTTCCGCTTCACGCGTCCTCTCCTCAATGCGGCACGGAAGCCTTCCACAGGCATCACTGGTCTCAAAGTACATCGCGACCCTGTTCCCGAGCTGAAGAAGACCTACGAGGCCACGCTCCAAGCCCTTTCCGCCATCCCTCAATCCTCTGTCTACCGCCAGGGCACCGAGGCGCTCACGCTACACAAACTCAAGGTGCTCGAGAAGGCGAATGGCAATGTTGCAGTCATCGAAAAGGAGCTCGACGAGGGTCAAATCGAGGAGTCGCTAGACATTGCCCAGGATGAGCTCAGCCTGGCACAGAAGATGTTGCAGTGGAAAGCGTAAGTACATTGGTTTCACTGCGTCAGCGCAAGGTCTTACCCTCGCCATAGGTGGGAGCCTCTGGAGGAGAAGCCACAACCAGGACAATGGCAATACTTTGGAAAGGAGGCGACGGCTTCATCATCATCGTGATTGGTCTTAATGGCATGCATATTCCGCTTTTCCCATCCGAACACACTGGCTCGTACCGCCGCAAGTGACTCCCAGGTGTATCCCTCAACATACCAGTCATGATCGCACAACGAGGGAGGTAACCTCGGTAATACGTTGAACATTGCTACCAAACATATTGAGCTCCCACCGCTTGTATGACATACCCACACAGCAGTCCTAGCGGTTGGAGATACTACTAATAGTGTGTGACCCGCGCGCACTACTACCAGCCGTAGCTCGCTTCATCTACTTGCGTACTGTACACGAGAATGAGTGATAGAAGAGCCTATTGTGAGTCGTAGTAGGGCTCAAATTCAGTTCATGCTCTCCTAAGACCGTCAATCTGCCCGACCGCTCTTGACGGACAAAGACAAAAAGGAATCGCTGACAGCAGGATTTGAACCTACGCGGGCAATGCCCAAGTGATATTGACACAAATTCAAATCACTCGCCTTAACGACTCGGCCATATCAGCTTGTGGTATTCTGTGCTGGATATGTACAACCGGCGTCCGTAACTCGAGATGGCTGCAGCGCGCCCTTCGCTCCTTGACCTTCTTCCTCGACGTTGTGCACATTCACCCTGTATCACTTTGCATCCTCATATCCACGCCTTCTTTCCTGGGGTCTTCGCTGAACGCCATGGACTCCTTGATTCCGTTCACGACCTCGGGATCGCTTGTGGATTGCGTCGATAGTACGTTTGCCCCAAGTCCACTCGAGGTGCAGCCTGAGCCCATAATCCCTGCCATTCTGCATCTCGGTCGCCCTTCATTTCATCCTGGTTAGGGAAGATGCTCGTGGTCCTGCGAGATGGTAGGAAACTCCAAGGCGTCCTTCGGTCATACGACCAATTCGGTAAGTCTACATCCGCTTTGTACACATTTGAGGTAGCAGTGATCTGACTGTAGGATGCTCTTACCAGCTAACCTGGTCCTAGAAGACACGGTGGAACGGATATACCATCAAGATGTTTTTGCAGAAATGTGGCGAGGCCTATTCTTAATCCGTGGCGAGAATGTCGTATTGCTTGGCGAGATCGTCAGTGGATACATCCATCCGCTGCCAACCTGTACTGAAGCGTGCATGCAACAGGATCTCGACCAGGAGGACGAAGTACCTCTGCGACAAGTGGAGTGGAACGTACTAGAACCTTATCACAAGCAAGATATTGCGAACAAGAAGCGTAGAGAAGAGCTGAAGTCGCAGGTCCTGTACGAGCAGAAAGGCTTCTGCAAAGAGGGCGGAGAGGGCGACGGATACTAAGCCCGCTTCGTCTCCTTCGTCTTCCGGATCCAACCATTCACTCGTCATCTGCAGGGATGCACCCTACCACAGGCAGATTCATTACGCCAAAGGGTCATCCGACTTGTTGTATTTATGTCTCTGTCGTCGCGTTCATTGCTGGTATCGCACATGCAAACTTGAGGAATCTAATACATAGGTATACACATCGTACTATGGCATACAATAGCTAAGATGCTAGAGCGTAACGTAAGAGCAAATCGTCCAGGCAGCCCAAGAATAAGGCGACGTGTGGAGTAATTTATCTCTTCTGCTTGCCCTTCTTCGTCCCGTTCGCTTTGGACCTTCCGGTGCCGTTCGTTTGCGTCCGCCCATTTAGCGGATGGAGAGGTACACTGGCCTGAGGCAGGCTGGCTTGGCGAGCACTGAGGGCAATGGCGTCTTCGAGCTGTTTACGGATTTCGCGCTCTTGGGTTGTCAGAGTAGCCATTGCCTTTTCTTTCAACTCTTGGTCGAACTCAAACTCCATAGCACGGAGCTTCTGCCACCTGTACACTGAGATTTAGCAATCATGTAGCGACTATTGACAGGCCACATACCCGGCATGCCGCTGACACTTCTTCTTGCCCCTACACCACCACGCGTCATGTTCGATGCCGGACCCGTCAACCTGCATTCCGTCCTCCTCGCCATCCGCCTGGCCGTGGCCTTCCTCGTAGCTCTCCATGATGCTGGTCGCGTACTCCGCATACTCATCATCGTCGAGACAAAGGCGTTGGTCCCAGCCACACTCCTCCACCTGTTCGGCCCGTGCAGCGGCTAGATCCAGTAGCTTCTGCCGCCAAAGGACGATCTCAAGCTCTTTCTTGAGGGCTTCGCGCTTTGGTGCAATCCTGTCTAGAGTCGCCTGTAGGCGAGCCACGGCGCGCTCTGCCTGCGTTTTCGTCGGCTGCTGCACCTCGTGCGTTTCCTTGACTAGTTGGCACAGAGGGCCCTGGGGTAGTTGCTCGGATTTGACAGCACCGCTAGGCTCTTCCTTTACGACATGGACCTTGACGACGACGCCCTCTCGCTGTTTGACGTCCTTGACGCTCGCCCAGAGCACGGCTTGGTCGCCACCCCAGCCATCGATCCGACGCTGCATGTAAGCGATTCCGCATTCATCTGAACAGAACTTCGAGAATGCACCACGGGCGGGTTTATGGCAAGCGGCAGCAGAGGATGGCCTGGGGTGCTTCAGTCCGGCATAACACCGTTGCTTGTATGTTGTCTTCAAGGGCAGGTAGGGATTTGCTACCGCAAATGTCAGTGAAGTGGGAATATCATGACGCGCTGTTACATACCTCTGATGCACGGAGGGCAGACGAACTGGTCGATAAGGTCAACCTCAAGATCGTTCATGTTCAAGCACTGTGTGTGGTACCACTCGTCGCACCTGAGGAACCCGTTGAGCTGAGGCCAGTAAAGACAATTGGGTAGAAACATACCGATCACAAGCAATCATGACTTTGTCTTCGTCGTAGCTCGTTTTGCAGATACAATAGAGCTTGTCGTCCGCGGCCTCTTCCTCCTCCTCTTCCTCCTCTTCTTGAGGCTTGCTGGCCGGTTCAGGAGGGGCAGGCATAACAGACGCCGATCGCGAGCGCGATTGTCCGACTGCCGCAGAGACTGACCGTTTCGCAGCCGACGCAGCCGCAGAGCTTGACACATTCGTCTTCTTTCCCTTGGCCACTGAACCACTTCCAGACGGCGTAAGACGGTCACTAGACCCTGCAGCGTTGTCTTTCGCCGCGGCTTTGGCCTTGGACTTCGTAGCAGCAGCCTTAGCTTTAGATTTCGCAGGTTGCTTTGGTTTCACAGCAGGCTATCCAAAAGACCTCAGCCTCACTCGTCTGCAGCCAACACTGTAATACATACCTTCGCTGATTGCTCTTTCCTCTTCATACTTGAAGACGCACTCGCGCTCTCAGCCTTGTCAGCCTTGGTCGTAAGCTGCTGTTCACCAACAGGTGTCTTAGTTGAGACGGGCTTGGCAGTTTGGTTTGGAGGGGCGATGGGTGGTGGCATAACCACACGCTCAGAAGGTGCAGGTGTCGCCGAGGATGGGCGAGGGGTAGGCGTGGCAGTTGCCTTCTTCGCAGGAGCATCCTTAGATATAGCAGACGTCGAAGTAAAAGCCGAAGAGTGTGAGGCATGGGTCGACTTATTGACGTGTGTATGCGAGTGTGAATGCGAGTGTTGGTGCTGATGCGAATGCGAGTGTCGAGGCTGGTCATCCAATAAGCTTAGCAACTCGTCATCCAGATCGTTACTGGCGGCACTACCAGCCGCTGTAGCTAATGGCTCCAACGCATCTGCAGCAAGGTCGAGTTCCATGGCAAGATCGGCATCCGAAGTGGGTGACACCGCTATGCTAGGTATACTGCGTTCATCGGGTGTGGTCCGCTCGAGCGCTTCCTCCAACAAAGCGAGCGGCGTAGGTGTTCTTGATTGAGCCATTGTTTCGTCGACATGCACGATGGTCTCTGGCACCACCTCCAGCTGTGACACATCATCGACCTGCGGCAGCTCCTCGTCCTTGAGATTGGGGGAAGCTGTGGACGCATCTGGTGTATCTGGAGGATCCTCGGGTGCTGGCGACGGTCGTATTGGCGCATTTGCAGGAGAGTCTGCCGCGTAGTGCTCCAACAACCATTCATGAGCATCTTGCTCCGAGACTCGTGGCTCCACCGGCATCAGTACTGAAGGCGAGCGCAAATCTTCTCTCGGCGTTGTCAGCTCCTGACTCTCCGCGGAGGCTTCTACCGCCGCACTCAACTCCTGTTGAGAGGTCCGTATGGCTGCCTCCTGCGGTAAGAACGCCTCCCCCGATACTGGTGACTCCCGCGGCACGATGGTCTCCTCCTGTGTGGCATCTTCAGTCGGCTCTGTGCGCACAAGTGGCTCTTCATGCACGGGTGGCTCCTCCTGTATGATTGGCTTAAGCTGTATAATCTGCTCCTGGGGTGCGACCAGCTCTTGCTGTACGACCTGCTCCTGCTGTACGTCTGGGGCTTGCTCTAGCTCTTGCCCTACGGCTAGTTCTTGCTGTGTACTCGGCTCGGGTTGTACATCCTCCCGTAGGTCCGGCTCAGGCTGTGCATTCGGCTCGGATTGTTTGCTGAGTTCTGGGTGTACGACGAGCTCCGGCTGCATGCTGGGCTTGTTCTCGTGCTGTACGGTCGGCATCGGCTTCGGGGTAGACGTTTCCTGTACAGCTGATGCTTCCATTGCCCGCGGACGCTCTGCAGCAGCGTCGCCTCTGAGGGTGGGCGTGTCCACCCAAGCGGCCCTTTCTGGGACGGCTTTGGTTTCTGTCTCAACTGTCATGTCGACAGCGACCTGGGTGACAGGCCGGTCGTCGTACTCGTTGCCATCGTCAGAGCGCGTAGGAAGGGCAGCTGGTGTTGACGCTGAGATGTCCGCCGGAATGGAAGTAGGTTGGGTAGGAGGAGCAAGCTCGACTGGAGCGTCCGAGGTGAGAAGATCAGATATGCTCCGTGGCCTCATCTGCGTCACAGGTGGAGGAGCGGGAGGGGAGGAGAAGACTGGGGGCGTGGGGGTCGATGCAGGCTGAGCAAGTGGGGGAGAGGTCACTCCAGGTAGGGAGCTCTCAGTGCGTCTGCGTCTCTTCGCAGGGGGTTCGCCATCTTGTCCATGAGAATGTCCCAAAGAGATGAAAGCCAGTGAATTCACCCGCGTGTCTAGACGTGGAGAAGGCAATGGTGGACTACGCTGCAACGCTGGAGACTGCGAGGGTGGTGGGAGCGCGGGTAGGGGAGGCGGCACACGATTGAGGACCGGGCTTAGCGACGCCCTGCGGACGGATTCCTGTCGTTCTAGAGGTGTTGGAAGCTCACCACTCAGTCGACGCCTTTCCTCTGTGGCAGCCTGGACCAATGCTTCCAACGCTCCGAGACCTCCAGGGCTTCCATGAGACGCGAAGGGAACTGCGGGTGACCTTGGTGACTCTCCGTTGAGGAGACTAGGCAAAGTAGTGACTGAAGAAGTGCGTGAGGCGAGAGAAGATGGAGAACCCGACTGAGTATGAGACGCCGAGCGAAAGTGAGATCGACGAGAGACGGAAGGTTCTCCTCTTGAAGCCTCAGGATATCCAACATTTGGGGACGAAGTAGGACTTTGGGACCTTATGGGCGAGTTCTGCGAGTGCATGACAGGTTGAGAAGGATCG